TAAATGCAAAATTCGACAGTTCTCAAACAGACTGAAGTGAAGATCTGATGTAATTAAATATGATTAGAACTAACCATGACTTAATGTTTTGATAAAGTAAAAAGAAAAAATATTCATTAATCACGAATTTAACTCATCAATTATTAGTTGAAATTATTCCTGCAAGGATTAATATTAGTTTTATTACTGAAGTGTTCATTATATTGTAAGCATATAAATTTTTTATACTATGTTCTTTGCTATTTTTAAGAACGCCCACCTCTCCTCACCAATTTCAAAATCATTTTTAATATAATATACGTGACTTTTATAAAACTTTCCACAAATGTTAAATGCATAAAAGTACCGAGTGTTTCTGAAATAATCTAGTAAACAGATAATGGAACAGCTTCATCATATTTTGACGAAATGAGCTATTTTTTGATTTCTTATTATAGCAGAAAGTTGAAAGTTTTTATTTATAAAATCATCAGCATATTGATACACTTGAAATATATCATTATCTACTTCAATCTGAAAGTTGGCATCCTTTTTACTATCTCCGTTAGTAGTTAATCACAAGAAATGCAGAAATCTGATAATGTATGTTTTGACATATTTGATTTGGTAGGGCTTTTCTGTCGTCGATCATTTCGATAAAAAGATTTATCCTATTTTTATCAACAAATAAAGGTAATACGGATGAAATATTGGCAAAAGGTCAAACTACTCTAGAACTTCAGAGTAGCACGATTTTTCTCAGAAATTTGAGTCCAGCAATGTCATTTGTTGATGAAAATCGGAAATTCTTTTCAGTGAAATGATCAGTGGGAAAAGCTCTAAAGAAATAGAACACATCAAATAGTTTTCGGATATCTTCACGTCTTTGGAATTGACTACTGATACAAACACTGCCAAAAATTAGCTATAGTGTTACAGATTTCTTGAGCATTTTCTATGCAAGCAAATTCACGAAGATTCTGTGAAATCAAATAGAGTAGCGAAAACTCAAAGATTGCAACTAAATAATGGAAAAAAATTGAGAACATTTAAGACCATGACATTTTGAATAACGTTACAGACGACTAAAATCTATCGTTTATCTTTGTCAGAAAATGTGAATATTTCTCTTCTAACTGCATAATAATACTTTTAAGTGATATTACTAAATTGATATTTTTATAATGAAACGAAAAAAGCTTTGAACTCTTCTCTATCATTGAGAAAACAAATTAATTAATTCAATTACAATACGATGCAGACATTCTATTCTTTTTTTATAGGGTTATTTCTGTGACATTCAGTTACTACATTTGTGTCACATGTCTGCATCTCATCATACAAGGATTCTTCAAAAGCGATTAAGACCCAGAATTGGTCTTTTACGTATGCAAATTCTTTTTCAATATACTTCCAACTACATATCTGGAGATTTTTCTATTTTTAAGAGAACTCTGTACCTACTCAGATGAGAGGAAAGACTCTTTGATTTGTATCTGTTTTTTTTCTTGTCTTACAAAGTTAAAATCTCAAAAATTTACAAATAACATTTAAAACTCATTGTATGTTGATTACATGAATCTAATCAAAGAATGCTTTCTTCTTATCCACAGAAGCAAGTACCATGCTATCGAATGAAAGAATTCAGAATTCTCGAGAGCAGAGCATACTGAAAAAAAAAAGAATTTGCTCGAAGATCGATCATTGACACAACAAACAATTTAGACTAAAGCGCAACAATTTTTTTTCTCCCCTTAATCTACCTATGATTAGACATTAACATGAAATATGATCCTATCATATATCAATCGCTAAAATTAATCAATATGCATAGGATTATGCTCGGAGCAACACATATTTCATAGCAAATAGAGCTAATCCAAAATTGTTTCTTCAAGCTTTTATCTAGGTGTCCTTAACAAATATTTTGTATATTTCTTTGAAATTTTGTCAAAAATGAAATTTTTTTTGTATGCTTTTCTCAAAAATTGATTGTTGTTTTGTTTTTGACCAAAATAGATATTATTAGAAAGGAACAGTATGATCTTAAACATAATCTTTGCATATATGTTTTTAGAGTTTTTATTTGTTGCAAAAGAAAATGTATTAATTTTATCGATGGATGACAATGAAATCGTTTTAAGTTAATGCAATTTTTTATTATTATTATATCAATTGATATAATAAAATCATTTTAGAATTATATCAAGAATAGATTTTATTGAGACATATTTTGCATTAATTTATACGATAGAAGTTTTAGAATATTCTCTATAGAATTTTATTCGGAAAAAGCTTAAGTCTTATGTGAATGTCTTTGATTCATTTAGATTATTCTGTTTATTAATACCACCGTTGTCACGATATGAGGTCTGTACTAAGCACGATTTAATTATACTATATTAATTATTAATTTTGTTTATATAATTGTTTATTTTAATGAGAAAAATTTTAAATAGATTCCTTCACAAAACTCATGAGAGTAAAATCTCTATCAATGAATTCATTTATTGAAAATTAATGTTGTTTTAAATTATCGCAAATTATATATTTTTACGACTACCTGAATACATGACATATGCTCGTATTTTTCTCCACAAGTTTTTACTCTTTAAAGCTGAAACTCTCAGAATAAATAAAATTATGAAATATGTATTTATGGTATAAGTATAAGATCAATTGACAATAGTAAAGAGAAATTATCAACAACGAATAAATATCGTTTATTTTGATCAGAGGAATATATGACCATTGGATCGTTTATTGAAACTATTCTTTTTTTTGTATTAATCGTTTTTTTAGTAGAAAATATTAATTGCTTATTTACATGAACTATATCATAATACTGTATTTTTCTTAGCCTATTTAGCAATGATTGACATCTTTTCTTCTATTCTGTTGAATAAAACTCCGGCAGCTATTTGATGTGATTTCTTTTTTCTTCTTTCGTTCTTTCATAATCTCAAAAAAAATGATCATCAATAATGAGTAATAAATATCAAGTTGTATGATACGAATGAAAAGTCATGATGACTGTTGTTTCGCAATACGATCATAGAGATGCACTCATTTCATATTTATGGTTGAATAACTATAGTATAATTGCTTGTTATATTACAATGTTCGACAAAATGTGCATACAGTAACAAAAAAAAAAGATTTTTTTTTCACTTGATCAAGAAAGAATCAATCGATCGATATTGAACATTCAACAATCGTTCTCTTAATTTTGATTATGATTGATTGCTTACTTAATAGAACTCTCTTTCGTCTATTATGTTAACTCATATGTTTCGGGAAAAAAAAATATGAATACATTAGAAAAGACCTTGAATAAGAAATACGAAACTTACATGTTGGTGGCAGTCTTGTTAATATAATGTTGTACGAACGTTGATTCAAATCTCACAAATGGCAGGTTAGACTTGCTCGCTTTGTGTACAAGCAAAAATGTATAATCTATATACTGAAAGAAAAAAGAAACCAAATGTTTACCTAGTATTAAGAAAGCAATACATAATCATGAGTCTTGTAACGCATGAAATAATACATGTGTAACATATACAGGTATGTTAACACAAAATATGTATAAAATGATAAATTATAAATAGAAAAGAAAAGAGTGAAATAAGACAACTGTTCATGTTAATTGATGAACGAATGCTTGCAGTCATTCGACATCAAATTTTGATAGAATGCAGGCGTGTATATATTCTCCCCTTCGGTTTTTTTTCTTCGTCTTGCCGTTTTTTTTCCTATCTATTTTACTATTGGTAACAGACTGCAGCAAGCCCAGTGGTTATGATGCTGTATGTGCAAGCACGTCTTTCTCTTCGTTTTTTTTTTCTTTTTCAATAGAATAGGAAGCAATGTAACAATGTCATATTCACTATTCAGTTCAAATAATGTGCTCTACTTCCTGTTGGCATGATCAAAGATAATATCGAATTTATTATAAAAAACTTCTATTGATATTTATACTCATTTAGAAAAAAAAGAACAAAAATAAGCCCAATCAAAGAAATCTAGTTAAACTAATATTGATCAATAACACTTGTTTTTTTATAAATATAGTGTAACAATAAGCGTAAAAAATTTCTTTATGTCTAAAGAACATCAAGTCAGCTTCAATTAGATATTGAGACAGATGTTATGCTGTTTTTTTTGCTTTTTTTTGAAACAATAGATTCTTTTAGAGAAAAAAAAATTAACAGCAACATGACCAGCTGTTCTTTCTTTTCTTCGTTTAGAACAATTATCGAATAAAACCTATTTTGATAGGAATATGTGGTGATTCGATATTCTGATAGTTCATATTGACGATGCATGTGTAATATGTAGTAGTAAATTCTTTCTTTTTTCAAATATTTTGAATTTAAAGTATATTTGATTAGTCAATATAACACAGTTTATCTTTTACAACTAGATGAATAATTCTAGGACCATAAAAATTTTATGTAATTTTCTTTCTTTTTTTTTCACTACCTTTGATACAACATTACTGTGTTGTTGTTTAAAAATACATTAAAGAAACAGAAGCTCACTAATCTATAACATTATCTTGTACTTCAACATCACCATTAGTTGTTGTCTTCCTCGTTAATACAAAATATTGATTAATGCGATGCCTTTTTTTTTCGTAATGATCAGAAGTGGCCCCATGCAACAGCAAAAAAATATACATGAAAAACAAACTATTCCAATACTAGTCCTTTCTTTCTCTTTTTTTCCTCTAGCTGAATTATATATAGTATCTGTGTTACGTAAGAGTTTATTTTTCTCACGTTTCAAAAACGGACATACGCATCACTAAATATAGACCAAATATCATTATACTTGGTTAAGTTAAATAAACAAAATGATTATTTTCACGAAAATTACTAATTCATAAAAAGCATGACGTACAATCGACGAGAAAGAGAGATACACAAAAAGAAAAACAAGGATGTTTATATGCTTGTTTGCTTTGGTTTTTCACTCCATTGCAGCGATTATGTTCCTTGATATATCGAAGATTGTTTTTAACGATTGTTGCTTCTCTTATTTTTATTTTGTGACTATAAAAAAAAAAATAGATAAATGTGTACAGATAAACACAAAAATAGCTATGAATATGAATAATAAATACATACATTTTTAAGCAAAATTATGAGAATACGAACGAACAAGTCAACCATATCGATAAATAGAAGAATTGCATGTCTAAGTACATATAAAATAATCAAAACAAAACAAAAACAAGGAAAAACAGAAATTGATCTTCTTGTTATGTTCAAAGAAAAAAAAAACGACATCTTCCAAGACTTTTCCATATTATAATAGACTATTGTTTTTCGAAAACCAAATCAAAGATATTATTTTTTTTCACTTACTTAACATAATTCATATCACCTTGAACAGCTCGTTGAACAATCAATTGAGTATCATACAAAATATAACCACATGCAATAAATAAATCAAGATAAAGATTAATCTAGATCAATAAAAACAAAAACATTTCCTATATTAAATAATCTTTTTTTCGTTATATTTACATTAAAAATAAGTTGTGATTGCCCAAATCCAAATACATTCATTAAACTAAGTATAATCATAACTGAGGTACCCGTACCAAGTAAACCTAAATTTACAAAAAAAAATACACAAACAAATGTTATTTTAGTATCTTCACTTTGTGTTTTCTTACCTCCTAAATATAAATATGTTCGTTTTCGTGTAAGTAATGCACTAAGTGTAAAACAAATAAAAATAGTTGTTGTCAATAAAAATGCTGTTATAACGATTTGAGGATCAACATTAATAGCTAAATTAATTAGTGGACTTAAATAAATACCAATAAATAAAGCCGTTACTGACATTAATCCAAAACATTTTATTTGTGTACGAGCATTTAAATCAATTGTAAAAAGCCAAATACTTGTTATTATTGATGCAAATACAGCCAAACGAGGATAATTAAGCCAGCCTATCATAGGTAAATAAACACCTAATGCTGCACATACTGTAGTAATTAATAAACAAGTATAAACATTTTTAAGATGCGTTTGAACTCTGGGTTGTCTAAAGAAAACAAAGAATAATTCAAAAGAAATAAAAATAAAACAAAATGAAAATTTCATATTTACAAAGTTGAAAAATTAAACAGTGTCTCTAAATTAAATCTATCCGATGTCGTTGATTTACCATCGGGACGAAATTGATTAGCATTTTCAAAACGAGAAAATGCACTTGTTTGTGACATTTTATCAAGCAAGATTGATTCAAAATCTAGAATAAATAATATGTATCTATGTGGTACAAGTTTTATGCAAAATCTAATAAACTAAATCAAAAATACACTTGTATATGAAAGTTAGGCTTGATAAACTAATGAAAATCGGTGCTGGACAAATATGAGTACGTACTCGAGTACGATATTTGTGATACTCGTACTCAAGTACTATATTTGTCATACTCGAGAGAATCCATACGTGGTCAGTTCTGATGAAAACTATTTCTCAACAATAGACTGATATAAGCAGACTTCAACTATCATAATAATATGGTTGAGATTTTTTCCTTGTTATAAGTTAGAATGTTCTAAATTCTTTTGTCGACAGTATTGCAAATTATATTGATGTCTTTTTAGCTATCTTTATTAATAAAAAGAAGCATTAATTTCTCCTAGTATAATCTCATTAATTTAATATATATTTTCATGCTAGTCACAATAAAATCAATTCTTAATAATATCTGAAATTTATAATATCTCAATGCCTTAACATTACTTATTCATTCATTTATTTATTCTGAATTGAATAATCATCCCTCTAGACCATGAGAATTTATAATGATTATCATAACTTACATGTAATTGATGTGCACAAAAAATGAATTCGTTTAAGTACTTATATATTATGTGTCATACTATTCTGGAAATTTCGAGAGCGATTAAATATTTCTATGACATGTCACTTTGTTGAATAACAAAAAAAAAGACTTTTGTATTATCTGAGTAATCTGTAGCTTTAATCTATGACAAAAATAACTTAAAAGGAACAAATATAACAGATAATTTTGCTTGAGACTTTCACAGATAAATGAAAGACGCAAAAGAAAACACACGCCTACATGTAAAAAGAAAACACTAAACGACTCTTTTATTTGCAGATTCAATGACAAATCTGAGTAAAAACAAAAACAAAACAAACCTTGCTCTCAATGATTTAGACGTAATACAGAACAAATTAATAAAATGAGTATATTGAAGAAAAACTGTATTTTGATAAAAGATACACACATAATAACATAACTGTTTAGTAGTGACATCTTAAATCGATGAAAACAATGTGTTTCGTGTAGAATTAAAAGAGAAAATTCACTCTATGTGTAAATATTTGTTTGTAATGATACCTTCTTACGTTGAAGAAGATTATTTCACATATTACAAGAAAAGAAAAGTAAAGAAAAAAGGAACAAGAAAATTATCCCTTATATTACATGCTTGTATATGGATGATTTAGTAAATGATATGCACTCGGTCTAAAACGAGCATCCAAAATGAGACACTGTTGCATTATATCAAGTAAATATAAATCGTCCAAGGGAGGAAAATTTATAGGTGTCATTCTTGCAATGACTTCCATTTTTTCATGCCGATCAAAAAGACCAAAATATGGAGGACGACCATAAGTCATTTCATAGAGGATAACACCTGCTGACCATACATCCGATTTGAAACTTGTTTTATGTGAAAAAACTTCAGGTGCCATGTAATCTATGATGAATGGATCATACAAATATACTTTTCTTTGATAATTTAATTATCAAATGTATATACCTATAGTGCCACGAATCATTGGCTGTCGAACAGCTGCGTTTGGCGAATTTAATCGAAAAGCAAGACTTAGATCAGTTATTTTGAGAATACCATTTACTAGAATTAAATTTTCAGGTTTGATATCAGCATGTACTAAAAATAAGGACAAAAACAAGGAAATATTTATTAAAATTAAAATCTTTCTATGCTTTTTTTTTTGAATTACCAACTCTTGCATCTTGAAGAGCTGTCAAAATGTTGACAATCTGTTGCCAATACGTTTGTCGAAGTGGTTCATTCAATGGCATTCCTTGCATATATTGTCTTAAACTTCCATGACCTAATTCCATAATCATATAACCAATATTTTCTTTAGGTCGATATTCATAATCAACCAAATGAATAAAATGTGGTGAACGTCCCCTTAGATAGGTCAAAATACGTGCTTCTTTGTTAAATCCATCAATTCGGTGACGTACTTGAGCAGGTGAGAACTGTGAAAAATAAAACACTTTGACAGCATGTTGAAAACCACTTTTATCTTGACACCGATATACAGTTGCTTCGCCACCTTGACCGATTGTATCTAATATACGATACTTACGACCACGAACAACGATCGATGATTCTATACAACAGAACAATAGCAAGAGTTTTATTAATCATATAAATAAAACTGAAATTATTTTACTAGAACTTAAGAAGTTATTTCGAGCAGATGAGCCAAGACCCATAACAAATATGACAACTACTTGTCTGCTTATTCAATGTATCAACAAATTATCGAACTTTATCCTTCACCTTGCCGTTGTCGTTGTCAATGATAAATAGTGTTAGAAAGAATTAGAAAAAAATTACCTTATTTATAATGGCCATCTTCATCTCTCAATCTATATGTTTTTTACTTTTGTCTACATTTTTTTTTCTCTTTTTTCTTTTCCTTTTTGGTTTCAATCCGGTCACACATTAATGCACACATGCATCTATAATGTACATTACGAGACTTCGAATAGAAGAAAAAAAAACTACGTATGCACCGCTCAAGAACACTGAACTAATTTTTCATATGTACAACTTGATTTATCATTGGTAAGAAAAAAAAAGAAAAGAAAAAAAAATATTGTAAAGATTCTAATTTATTTATTACATATCATTTTCAACAATCGGTAAGCGTTGATACAATGATATACGTTCGTTCTTCATGATGTTCAATTTTTTCTCATTCTGTTCAGTTAGAACGTTACAATCATGCAATGTACGTTTACTTTGATCAATGTCAAGTATATCAAGTAATTGTTTAGTAATTGATGGAACAATTGGTTGTAGAAGTATACCACAAATACGTAAACATTCAAGTGTTAAATAAATCAATATTTGTAAACGTTGTTGATCATTTTCTATCGTTGATTTAGCTAATACCCAAGGTTGCTCATGTTGAACATAAGCATTACATGCACGAAGGACATCCATAATTGCAATAATACCATGATAAAATTCATATGAATCATACGCTGTTTTAACACGTGATGGTAGATCGATACATTGATTAATAAGTTCTGTTGCTGTTGATGAAAACGTATATGAAGGACGCGAAGGATAAATTCGTGAAGGATTTATCGATAATGATGTTACACGATTAAGTAGATTGCCAAGTGTATTAGCTAATTCGGCATTTAAATATTTTTTCATTTTATTTTCATTAAAATTCGCATCTTGTGAAAGAATATCTTCACGTAATAAACAATATCGAACACCATCACATTGTAGTTTAGATAATAAATCAGACGGATCAATTACATTTCCTATATATTTTTATTAACAAAATAGTAGAAATACAAAAACGAAAACGAAATAAACTATTGTTCATCAAAAAAGTTGATGAGTGTGACTATTTTTCGAATAATTCAAAAATGAAAAGAAAAAGGAATAGAAACCTGTAATTTTTACCATTTGAAAAAAACGATATCAAGATTTCCATCTGTGTAAGACTGATTAGGTTCGAAGAGTTGCTGCATGGCTGTTTTTAAGTTGATTTTTTTCCGATCAAACTACATAGAAATGTAGCTGAAATCATGAAAGAATCCTTTGAACCTAATGAATTTCACAACTTTCTATCCATTTTCGTTCTCAAGTTATTCAAAAAATAGTCACACTCACCGGCTTTACCGATGAACAATACTTACCAACACTCTTTGACATTTTTTTATCATCTTTTAGCCAATGTCCATGAACAACTATTTGATGTGGTAATTCTAGATTAAGTCCCATAAGTAATGCTGGCCAATAAATAGCATGAAATCGAAGTATTTCTTTACCAATGACTTGACAATTAGGTGGCCAATGAATAATATAATCAGGATAACCAACAACAGTTAAATAATTAATAAGTGCATCGATCCAAACATATACTATTTGTGATGAATCATTTGGTACCTGATTTAAGTGAATAAATAATATACTTAAATGAGTTATACCTTAAACTTACTTGTATACCCCATGAAAGTCGTTTAGTTTCACGTGAAATTGAAATATCACCTTGTTTTTTAAGTTCATGTAATTGTATCAATGCTAATTTATTAAATTTAATAGGATATAATGGTTTTTTATCTTTTATCCATTGTTCAATACGTTCATGAAATTCATTTAGTCTAAACATATAATTTTTTTCTTCTGTCCATTCAACAGGACGATTTGATTCTTTAATTCTTGCTTGACCTGATTGATCTTTTACAATCTAATATTTAAAAAAAAAAAAAACTTCTTTGTTCAATAACCGAAATAGTGAAGTAAAAACTAACCTTATGCTTACTTCATCTTCGCTAACAAAACATTCATCTTGAACTGAATACCATCCTTCATAACTACCTTTATAGATAAGATTTTGTTTTAGCAATTCTTGCCAAACATGTTGAACAGCTTGACAATGTTTTTTATCTGTTGTTCGAATATAATTTGTATATTCAATTGCAAATTGATCAAACATTTTACGAAATGTTTCTAAATGAAAGAAGAATAACCATTTTTCTTTGTAGAAATTTTCTTCTACCTGTAACTTGATTACAAAATTCTATAGGTAAAAGTTGAGCAATTGTTGCAGCTCGTTCAATTTTTAAACCATGTTCATCAGTTCCAGTTGAAAAAATAATTTTTGGTGGTGAACGATGTTTTACTATTTGCCATCGTGCAATAGTATCAGCAAGTAAACTTGAATAAAGATGACCTATATGAGGTTTAGAATTAACATAATAGATTGGTGTTGAAATAAAATATGATGCAGCACGACTTATCGTCATTTCAATTTATTTATAATAAAAACGTATAATAAATAAAAATTCCGATTATTAGATTGGATTGGTAAATAATATTACCAATACGACTTCCTTTTTTCTTTTTGCTTTTGTTTATCTCTTCATAAAAATAATCATATATTTGAAATGAATTTTTTTTTTCTTCTTATAGATGGCAGACAATATCAATAAGAATATGTTTCTATGTATTTTTATTCTTTTCGTCTCTGTTCCTATACTATCCAATAGATGTTCATTCTTTGTTTTCGTCTAAAATGAATCAATCGATATCATCTGTTGTGTCAGTCAGTGTTTCTAAATAAGTAGGTTTTGTATGTTCCATTTGTTTTCTTTTTTTTATTGATTAAACATTAGACAATAGATCCTTCGAGATGTATTCTTTTGTTACTATTATCCATCTTTGTTTGTTCAATGCTCTTTCGTTCTTTTTTTTTTTTTATTTTCTTTTGTTTTCTTGTGACTATGAGTGTTAACAGATACGCGATAATTGCTACAGCAAGTAAAGACTTCGTCGTTTTGTCTATGTATATCTAATAAGAATATAAAACGGTATTGTTCAAGGGCCATTATGTGTTAAAATCGGACTGATCGTGTATATTACAAGAATTTATTTTATTGATTATGCAAGTTTTTTCTGTTCTATTTAAGAACAATATTTGCAGTTTCTTTTTTTCTTCTCTTTTTTTTCTCAGAGGTCAATCGCAAATCTGTAAAGTGTGTACGTGATACATTTCTTCTTCTGTTCAACTTTATTAAACAAACTTTTACTCTTTTTCTATTATTTTGCTTTCATTTAATATGGAAGAACAACGTCGTGCGTCTAGTGTCAATACCAAACGTCTTTATACTGTACGTAAGAATTTCACCTATATAATAGAAAAAATAAAAAGATAATCATATGAACTTAACAGTTTGAACTCATTAAATAAAAAAAGAAAGAAAAAGTTTGAACTAGATAACGTATAATTCGTATTAAAACATAATCGACGCATTCATAGGTGTGATGGTTAATATAAGATAAGACATAAGTATATGTTTAGTACGTGATCAATCAATCAATGTCTATAGCTCTTTATTTCGTATTTTTTACACTCATTGATCATTTTTTTGTTCAAATGAAAAATAGGTAATATGTTCTATATGTTTTTTAATGTAAGATCAGGGCTGGCCCGAGTGAGCAAACATTGGGAGTTGTCGCGATTTTTTGGGGAGTTGTTTCGGATATTTTTAATGCGAATAAAACTTTTCTAACATTACTCACGAAAAAAAATTCATTTTTGCTGGGTAAAAACGTAAATTTTCGATTATTGGGGGGTTGTCACAACTCCCAAAACCCCCTATCGGGCCAACCCTGTGTAAGATTTATTTGAATAGATGACATAAATCTATATTTACGATACCAATACATTCATGACAATAATTAAACTTAAATGTTTAGATTTTTTCTTTTTTGATATTGACTAGAACAATCTACACATTTTTAAATGCTTGAAGCGTGCTTAAATAGCGAGACAGCGTAGAAAATGACAACGCTCTGAGACAATGAACAGAAGAAAGAGAGATATGAGATGGTTAATTTCATGGATATGTACTGTCGGCGATAAAAAGTGAACATAAACAGTTGTCGTACATCATCGATCGACAATGATGACAACAATCGGAAAAAAAATAGCATATAAGTTACTCGTAAAGAAAAGTAACAATGTTGAAGAAGAACATTACTGTTCTACTATAGTTGATGTAAGTACATACTAATCAATTCAATATAGATTAGGCACATTTGTTCTTTGATTTGATCGATGATATTCAATGATATGTATTGAATAGAATGAACCGGTAATAATGTTTGAAGTTATAATAACTACAAGATTGTTTTAGTCATATTTATCATTTTTTTATATATCGTTTGATGTTCAAAAACTTGTAATGAATTGTTATCTGCGAGATTGATACATACATACATATATAGATAGATACTTCATCATGATCATCTCTTCACGAAATTTATTGTCTCGAAATCAACCTATATATTATAATTGAATCATATATATATATATATAATTATAGATCATGGAACCAGACACATATGGTGGCGTAGTCAATTCTGCAACGTTACCTCCTACTTTAATTCATTCAACAGAATCAATTGTACCTCCTATAGCTTCATCATCGAATACTATTAATTATGAAACGCGTTCATCATCTCGTCGTCATCATCATCATCATCATAATAAAAAACAACAAAATAATAATAATGTAACATCAAATGATAGTCAAGATGAACGTATTGAAGTTAAAATTCTTCCACAAGATGATAATTGGGGTGAAACAACAACAATAACATGTAATGGTGGTAATGAAGATACATTAACAAATAATAATGATACAAGTTTGCAACTAAATATTCCTAATCAACATCTAACAAAAAAAATTCATCATCGAAAACGATCAATTATGATTTGTCATTTTATTATTTATTTAATTTGTCTTATTGCATTTATATCACCCATATTATTTCTTACATTACCATATCTATTAATTCAATCTGATTTAATAATTATTAATGATTATACATTATTATTAACAATTATTTTTAAACTTTTACTTCTATTTCTTGGTACGTTATTATTATTATATCGGCGACGAAATACAATTTATTTACCACGTATGAATTTACATCAATTATTTTTTATTATTATATTAATAATAATTATTTTGACTTATTGGTTATATTATATTTTTAAATTATTACAACCAAACATTGATAATTATGAAAAAGTTTTATCAATGACTTCAACATATGAAGATTTACTTTTATTTTTATTATTATTAGTTGTTATTATCTTAGAAATAAAATATTTATATCCAAAATGGATTGTTAAAGTTGTACGATCACCTGATGGACAAATAAAACAATATACAATTGGTAAATATTAAAAACAAAAAAAAAAGTATTTTTCATTTTGTTTTTTTTTTTTCTGTCTAGGTTCAATGTCAATACAAGAAGCAAGTATTTATTTACTTGAACAATATTATAAAGATTTTCCTGTATTTAATCCATGGTTGGAAAATATACATCAAACACAAGCAAGACAACATGGAACACTTTCAACAAAATCGATAGGATCGCAATCAAATGCATCGACTATTGCTACTGGTGTCAATGGAAATAGAGATCTTGGACGTTCAATGCACGGATATAATGATCGGTATTGTTCTTTTTCTTTTGTCTTGATATGGTTCTTTGATAGAAACAGTGAATGTCTTGGAGCACGAAAGAAGTTATGTGTGATGAATATTTTATGTAGGTTTTGTGTTTTTGAGGAGTAGTTTGAAATTCAGAGGCGGATGATCTGTTAATAGTCTTTTGTAGACTTTTTATGATTACATATACGAAATACCAAGTTGTCATGGAACTTGATTTTGATCTTGTTGATACGAGTAAAAGAGTTGAATAATTGATTTAAAAGTCAGAAATAAAAATTAAGGATCGTAACTAAAGAAAAAAAGATAACGAGAGTTCCATTGATTATGTTTTAATTTTAATTTTTCTAGATTCTATGATGAACTTGATTATGAACGTCGTGTACGAAAACGACGTACAAAATTATTAAGTTCATGTGAAGATGCATTTACACATGTTCGAAAATGTCTTCATGAAAAATATGGTTCACATATACCAATGGATGCTCGAGAAGCAGCACAAGTAATTATTTATTTATTTGATAATATTTTTGTAAATATTCTTTTAGGCTGTTTTTTCTTCAATGTCACGTTCACTTCAAAAATATCTTCGAATAACTCGTCAACAACCATATTTTACTCGAGAATCAATTATATCTCATTTATCAACATGTTTATCACATAATTTATCTCCGCGAGCATTTCTTGAACGTTATATTCAAACAGAATCTCAACCATTAGCAACATTATTATTTCCAGCATTATTATCGACAACAAAACGTACTATTGAACAATCGTGGACAATTATATGTGATACACAATCATACATTAATGACAAAAATCAAAGAAAAACAATATCAATTAATCAATCAATATATTCAAATTTAATATTTATACTTAAACAACAACATGCCGAACATATTGCATTAATATGTACATTTCATCGAATGCCACGAATAAATTTACTTGAAAATTTTTTTGATTTAAAACAAAATAAATTTGTTTTAAAACTCAATTCAGAAACATCAGTTTAAAATATCCATGTCAGATATTTCATATGAATTTTGTTTTGATGATAATTAAATTTCTCAAACATATATTCATTATTCGTTGCATTTTCTTATATTATTATTATCGTGTGTGTTTATTGGCTAAAGTGTTTTTTCTTGTCTTTTTCTTTTCTGTGTTAAATTGTGAAATAAATTGACTAATCTTACACCATATTGATGTAATTACAAATCTATATATATTTACACAAACAAAAAAAAAATAGCAGAATTTTTTTCTCCTGCATTCTGTCATTTAGAAATAATGGCTTCTTCATTGCCATCATCAACGACCATTAAACGAAAGACACCTTCGGAAAATCCTAATGAAAATCTACCAAAAAGAAATCATTGGTCAGCAGGTTTATCAACAGCTTTAGATGACGAAAGCGCACGAGTATACAAAGATGAATTATGTACTGTGATTAAAGATAAATATCCAAAAGTAAGTAGATTATTTTTTTCTTGTACTGATAGATTCATAATAAAAGACGGAATAATATTATTACTTTATTAATTATAAAGTGAATGAATCAACATTTTGAATAGATGAAGATATAAATGATTTAATTGGAGATTTCATAAATAATAGAAAATTGAATTATGTGAGAAAGCTTTATTGAATTAAGTTTTTTCTGACAGTAACAGATGAAAAACATAGCTTTAGAAGACAATTTAAATATAAAAAAGAAAAATTTCTATGACGAACGTCATTCATTGAATTAAATAATTTATTGTTTTTTTCTAGGCTCGAATTCATTTACTTGTTATGCCTAATGAGCATATTGCAAATCTTAAATCGATCAATAATACTCATCTTCCTTTACTCAAACATATGCTTAAAGTTGGTAAAGAAGTAGCTGAAAAGTAATTTAATTCATTTCATAATTTCGACTTTGCATTGTTTACATAATCATAGAACTGCAGCAAAAGCTAATGCTCGTGGTTCATTTTCTCATTTTCGTTATGGTTATCATGCTATTCCATCAATGACACTTCTTCATATGCATGTCATCAGTCAAGATTTTATATCAGATAGTTTAAAAACAGTATGTATATATAAAGTAGCTACTCAAATTATTCGACTAGGTTAACAAGAATTCTCAAAAAGACGAAAATGATTGCTCATTTTTGCAAGGATAGAATCTTTTGAAGACTAAAACCCAAGTTTTTCGTCATCTAGAATTTACAACTAGTTTTTCACATAATAGTATGTCTTTCTTTTTTCTTTGACGTATTTTGACCGATATATATCAATCTTACTGCAGGTACCAGTCATTATTTCTGCTATTTCGTAAAGATACATCATTTTTATGCTGCTCTATCCTTCTGAATAATTCAAACAAAATTTTATTTTCGAATTCCCAGTGATGAAAAACTTGAATTTCGGTTATCATTTTCGTCTTCGAAAATTCTTGTTGGGAAAAAGTCTCTACACAAATCACTATCGAGATTCTTATTAGCATTTTATTCTTTCTTTTTTTCCTAAGAAAAAACATTGGAATTCTTTTACAAGTGATTATTTTCTTGATTCAAGTCAAGTTATTGATGATTTACAAGCAAATGGTTCTGTTCGTATTGATACAACACGAATGGAAAAACTTCTTGATAACGAATTAAAATGTCATCGATGTTCAAATAAGTTTTCAACAATGCCTAAACTTAAACAACATTTACTTACACATACTTCTTAACTTGTACATATAGTTAAACACGTTATGTTTAAAAAAACAAATATGTTTAATTAGAAAATAAAAGTTTTTGTTGAATTTGTCCAGAAGGTACTCTTCGTAGTGTATTGCGCTGATCTTTTGTTAAATAATCTCGTTTCCACATTGATCGATCACTTGCAGTACGGAAAAGTTTATCAAGATAAGCTATATCAGCATTAGTTAATTGTGTTGAATTTGTTGACCAAGATTTTTTTGTTAAAATTTGAGTTGGAGTTGATAAGTACTCATTGTTTGGTAGCATAGTTTGGTGAATAGGTTCTGTCATTACAAGTTCTTTTTCTGAACTTTTATTATATGAATTTTGATTGTTTCGTCGTCGACGAGCAAAGATCCAATAAGATAAACCGAAACTGATTATGATTAACAAAGGAATAACAACAATAGGTAACCATTTGAAAAAGACTTGTGAATTTGACTTTGTCATATCAAATATGTATTAAACTAAAAAGTCTTCTTTTATGATAAGTATATTAATCATTTTATGATACACCTACCCGAACTTGTTTCATCAATTAAGATAAATTGATAGAGAAAAAATATATTTATAGAAGAAGATTTGTTTGGAATACAACGAAATATATCTAACAGAATAATATAGAATTCTTTCCCGCTCGAAAACAAAACAAGTTTAATTGGTACTATTTTTATTGAAGGTTTCAATTCGATTAAAATAAATAAGTACCTGTCTCTGCTTGCTCGTCGTGTGATCAGCATGTTCACAGTCAGTACGGGCCCATCGTTATTTTCTTAAACAGCAATGCATAAATGTTCCATTCTTATCGTATTTATACCTATCTACCCATTGGTGTAAAAATAAAATTTTAAAACTAAAAGAAATCTTGATGAAACTTTATTAAAATAGATATACTCTAAAGACGATTCATTTAAAGCAAGAAAATTCTGCATTGATTTCTTATAAAGACTGAATTTTTAAAAAGCATATGTATTGATTGAATTTGATTTAAGTATCTATTGGTAACTAAGCTGAGAAGAATTAACAGTCAATTAAAAAAATGAACGGTTATGATTTATGCGTAACCTTTTCTTTTATGAGTCGATTCAAATAAGACACAACTGATTCCTATGGAAGTTGCTCAATCTAGGATATTTTGTAGAGGGAAGAGTTTTACGAACTTTGAAGCAAGCCGTTCGAAAAAAATATTATTCCGTTCTTGAGATATTTAAAATTTTTGACGGCACTGTCACCATAAAAGCAGTTTTTGTGATTTTTAGTCATATTCATACTTCAACAAAAACTAATCTGTTTGACTTAAAATTTTCACTGCTCTAACGTATCGAGTTTATGTACTTATCATATAAAAATGAGTTCGAATCAGTAAACTATTGATGAGTTGATCAATACTAACAGCTACAGAACAAAATAGTCTTTTTCATTATTTTGTGCATATACATATCTCACGAGAATATGGGTACTAGTTTTCCCATCACTCGTACCCATACCGTATTTTGATTTTGTTCAAAAACAAATTATTCTTATTCTTAAGTAACTATTAATGTTACATTCATTGAGATTTATGCAGATTTCATAACTCAGAATACGATTTTGATTCTTGAACTCCGTAGAACTTCATAAAACCAGGGTAACATTTTTATGCAGATTTCTTAGTCGTCATTCTCGTAACATAGACAATGTTGATGAAATGCAGACGTGCTAAGTTGCAGGTACACGTCTTCGAATAGAATAAAGAAGGAATAAGTTTAGAGAGTGTCGTGCGGAGCCGTAGTTTAGACATGAGTTGAGTATGTAAGCGCATGTGTGGTTTGTCAATGGATGATAGAAAAACTAATTATAACACTCAAACGTACAGCTTCACTAACACCTATACTATCAATATGGTTTCTTTTGTGATGTACGGTGGTCTACCAAGAACTATCGAACAACATTAACAGATAACAATATCTTCATCATTCTCATACTGACAGACTTGAAAATTCTTTTTTTTATTCTTGCACTACAATATTTCTATTGAATTGTTCATAATTCATGCACTTTAACCAGCAAGTCAGCTCTTTTTTTAACCCAAGTAACATTAAGTCATCGACTCAAAAAGTAAAACTTCAAGTTTTCTTTCAACAGCTGATAAAGTTACAGGTACTGCCAACACCTTCCTTGCCACTTTATTCTATGATTTGTGTTTTATTGATCAATTAATCAAAATAAATCTATTAGAATGATTGTCATCATCGCTAAGATAATTAGCAATTTCATCTCTTTGATAGAGGCAACATTATCAAACTTTTGTTTTTCACTATATTTCTCTTGAATTTCTAAGAAAAAAATTGTCCGCCTTGACGTTGATTCTTGTTGATTACCCGTAGCGTTTATCTTTTAGTGCAGTTGTCAATTAATAATTATGTTCAAGTATTATTAATGATAGAATTTTCATATTAGAACAAAAAGTGTCAATTTACTTCATGCGAATCTAATTTACATTTTATTTGGAAAGATATTTCTGACTTGATTTATATTTTATTGTCAAATTAAGTCATGAGGCATTAGAAAATTGTCTTTGACAAGCCATAGTCAAGTCACAAATCATTCGAAAATTCTTCAAGTCAAGTTGAAGCATCCAGGTCGATCATTCCGACCGTGTGAAACGACGTCTTACACTGCCTAAAACGGTGAAAAAACGACATGAATATCGCCCTAAACGATGAAAAACGACCTTCGTTTAAGACCATTTTCGACGAGTAACGATGTATAGTATTATGACAGTATTCTCGCCATATAGTGTCTTATTTACACTGGTTTTTCTCATTTACGATTTCATTTATCTTTTGGAGTCCGCCGTTGGTGAAGAGAAGCACCACATGTTATCCTCTTCTCGCCTTTCGTAAACACAAGCAACAAAGTTTTTTTTTCAATAAAATACTACTGTATATTTCATTGAGATAAATCTAAATAAAAAAAATTATACTCATGTAAACAAAACATTTACTATTTAATATATTAACAAGATAAATCTAAATCAAAATAAAAAAAACTAATATATTTATTCAAATAAAATATTTATCATTGAAGTAGATGATGAAAAGAATCCGATAAAAAAATATTATTTTTTTGTAAATAGGCAATGACCAATCGATTATTAATCATTAGAAACTATCAAATGATGGTTTTAAGATACTTTTTGAAACGATGAAAAACGATGTGAAAACGACAGTCGTAACGACAATCGTTTCCGCTAGTACTTAAGCGATCACTGTAAAGGTTATCGTTCAACGTCGTATTTCTGCGTTGTACGGCAGATCGTAAACGACCATCCTAACGACAGCTGTTTTTCACCGTTTTCAAGTCGTTTAAGGTAGTTTACAAGCCATTCTATGCGACGTGAACAAGTCAAAAATGACTTAACTAAACTTTAACTTGAATCATTTTTTACTTGACTTTCCCATCTTTGTATATATGACATAAATTATGTACTATTGTTATTAAGCATTCAATTGTGTCGATGTCCTCATATCATTAAGCGAGATTTGTTTCAAGAAGAAACAGTTCGATGTGTATAAAAAGGAGTATTTAGCATTGTAATAATTCAATATCAATTGTATATATGAATAACTATTGAATTCTTTTGTTTTCCGAGTTATTGTTTATGCATATAAATATAACATATTGCGTGCCCTAAAAAAACAATTTTTATTTTTTTCTACTCCTTTTGCTTTTCAGTATCTTATCAGGTTTAATTACGTTTTATTTTTATGTCATGTACAACACTCACTGTACACATCTTGTCTAAACCTGTTCGCAGTAGAGTGTGTAGTAGAAAAAATTTAAAAAAAAATGGTACAAAATTACTGAAAATAAAGAACAGTAAGACATGAATAAAGTTGCTTTGCTATAAAGGTAAAAAGTTATCATTCGATAAAACAAGCAAGCAGCGTTACATATACAGCATCAAATATAAGAAACAGAGTCACGACACAAAATTTTCTACGCATATTGTATTTTCTTCATTTCGTTGTGGTGAGTAACTTACTGCAGAAATGTCAAAAGCAGGAATAATTTTACTAAATAATGCACACACTGTGCTAACATGATCTACACATTAAATACAATTGAGACAGAAAAGAAATCGATCATTGGGATCGGTTTTTCTTTTGAACGATCGATTGATACTTTTATTTGCTTGTTAGCAATCTCATTGATTCACTCTGATGTGTTCATGTCATATTTATTTAGTATTTTAGTTAGCCTCCATTCATTGACAATGCCTCTATATATATATTACCTAATTACTTTACTTCCTTTTCAGCCAATGTTGTACATCACGTTTAATTAATCAAAATACGAGCGTTGAAATATCAGCATGATGTGACTAAAATTTTGATGATAATAAGTATAAGAATATTACCAATACAATAGTAAAATCTTTATGTGCATGAGGAAAAAGTTGAAACGCTTCGAACCATATAACAATGAAAAAAAGTGAACTTGAAAACTTTTGGCCATTTTACAAGGAATCAACATGAAGTCTTAATGTTTCGCGTTACACAGAAAAACGTTAGGAAGAGGCCAAAAAGACTTCACTCAGGCATTTATCCGCGAGGATGACCATAATAACTTTGAGACTGATCGGTATTATGGCGCGATTATACGTAGGATATTTTAGGTCCAGATTTGAATATTTTTAGGGCCGATTCGCTCTGGGAACTGTCCCAACAAAGCTAACTGCTGTTCCAAGTACAACTCGACGAGCTGCATCGAATGCTGAAAACCGCTTCTCGATACTTATTATAACCAACGAGATTTAACAAAATTACTAGTTTTTCTGCGATTCCAACAAATTATAGAAAATGTAATTCTAGGCCGATTCGTCTATGAAAGTGTCCCAGCCACTCTGAAACATGTTTCAAGTGCAACTCGACGACCTCTATCTAACGGTGAAAACCGCATGCCGATACATTCAACTCTTGAATAGATGTTAGCTCGATACCCGTCCCAACGGTCCGGTCAAACACGTATTTCTTGGTCCTACTCGCCTATGAAGGTATTCCAATGCATCCGAACTATGTTCGACGTGTATTCCGACGAGATGCACCCATTGGTTAAAATCTGTGTAAGGAACGCTTGAGGCGGATGAGCCAAAAAAGGGCACGAGCGCAGCTGTCGGATGTGGAAATCGGTAATGTGTCAGCATAGTAGCATTCTATGATGTGCGATTTTTGTTGCAACAGATGTAGCCCGTCAAAATACACGTTGAATATAGTTTGAATTCTTTGAAATACCTACACAGACGACTCGGTCAAAGAAATACGTATTTGACGGTACCATTGGAACCGGTATCGAGGCAATATTTCATTAACAGTTGAATGCATGTAGATGCGGTTTTCACCGTTAGATAGAGCTTGTCGAGTTGCACTTGGAACATAGTTGAAAGTGGTTGGAACATCTTCACGAAC